GCGCTACCACGCCCGGCTGATCTTTTGATTTATTGTAGAGATGAGGTCTCGCTGCCCAGGCGGGTCTCGAACCCGCGGGCTCAGGCAATCCACTCACCTCAGCCTCCCAAGGCACGGGAATATTCTCTCTTTAATCTTACACTAAGGAACGTAATAACCACAAATCCTCCTTGAATTTTATCTCCAAACTGATGCCGATGACTGAGGACAAAATCTGGATGATCTGTAAAACTTTCTTTTGTAGACAGTTAACTTGGAAAATTCAGACTTGTTGCAGCTTCAAAGGGATATGAAAGTCACAACTATTTTTTGTTAATCTACCCAACCATCCTGGCATGTCTAGCTACTTAGTTACCCTGTCTGAATTTCTAACATGCCTAGGTGAATAATGGGAACCTACGATGATTCAAGAGATAGATTTTCCTTCTGCTTTGTGATCAGGTTAGACATGACCAAGTTGATACCTTAAGACCTCAAAGGGAGTAGGATGATAGTGTAGTTAACAACACATGCTTTTGCATATTCCCTTAGTATTAAGCTTGACCTTTGTACACATTAAATATGTGCCGCTCTTTGTAAACAGAGAAAGATTGATCAGTTCTCACATAGCTTTTCTCTAGAAGCACTGTTCTTTCAAAAGCCTGTGTGTGAGGTTCAGAAGGAAGTTGGAAAGAACAGAAGATTTTTAAAAATATCACTTATAGCTTTAATCTTTTTATAGCTTTAAACTTTTAGAGCTTTTGTATTCTCCAGAATTAAATGAGAAGCATTAGGCTATTCTAAATGTAAAGTTTATGTCTATCACTTTTATAAAGGGTTAAAATTTTTTTTCAACAGCTCATGAAGAGAAAGTTAGGTATTCAATCTGACTTCATATAAGCTTTATTAAATTATTTTATTAATGAATATTGATATATTACCCAAGCAGAGAGAGAACATAGAGTGGAGACTGTAGAAAACATTTAAGCTAAAAAAAAAAGGATAAAAAATATTGATAGTATTGACTGATTATCTATTTCTCTGTATCAGGATTCAACATTTATTTATCTGGAACAATCTATGCTGTTTCTTCAATGTTCCCCATATGCCACTGGGGAAGATATTTTATTGTGTTCCCTAGTTAGTTGCTCTGATAGCTCTGTAGATCTATACTTTTTTTGTTCTTTGCTTAAGTCTTTTACTATTGGAATTTATTTGTTTGTTTATTTATTTTCATTTTTTTGAGTCGAGTCTCACAGTTGCCCAGGCTGGAGTTCTGTGGCACACTCACAGCTACCCAAACCTTGACCTGCTGGGCTCAGGCAATCCTTCTGCCTCAGCCTTCCAGGGAGCTGGAACCACGGGCGCACACCACTACACCAGGCTAATTTTTTTCACCTATTGTAGAAATGAGGTCTCACCAAGTTGCCCAGGCTGGTCTTGAACCTGTGGACTCAGGCAGTCCTCTCGCCTCCACCTCCCAAAGCGCTGTTATTATAGGCGTGAGTCACCACACCCTATTGGAATTTAATCTACTTTTTAAAACATTATTTACCTCTGTGAATAGGAAGAATATTTAGTATTATTCTTATAATAACCAATCACATATTTAAACTTCATTAAGATAATCTTTATAATTTTATTCTCTTTTTTATTATTTTTTTCTCATGGGTCCCAAATTCTGTAACTCACCTACGTAGCCTGGCTTCTCTAGACTCCTTTTCGAATTCTCTGTATGATTTTTGCTATAAAATATTTCATCTCTAACCTACATACTACTTCTAATCTATATACAGATTCTAATAAGTGACCAGTCTAATCCCAAGGATAGTGGGTAACATGATGATATTATAGAAAGAGGGAGAACATTGGAATTAGATCGCCAAGATTAAAACCCGAGCTTGGTCACTTTGTTGCTGCGTTTACCATGAGAACATCCTTTGCTTGAGCCTCTGGGCAATGGAGATCTCTACTTTAGAGAATCTCTGAGCATTTAGATAAAAGTGTACCTCCTAGCACGGTGCCTAGCATATAGAAAGTGCTTCATCAATGTTAATTTTCCTTTCTTCTGGTTCTTTTATGTCATGTTTTGAGAAAATAACATTAAAGTACTATTTGTAGTATTATTCCCACTAGAGACATTCCTTATACATCACAAGGTTTTGCACCAAGTTCACTCTTTAAATTGAAAATTACTTTCAGCTCATAGTCTCATGACGGTGCCTGTGCTGTGACATTTATTGCCACTCTGCTACCATCTGGTCTAATCTCTAGTGTGTGTAAGTTATGTAAGTTTCCCGAATACAGTGGGAAACTTGTACTAACACTGCTGCTTTACTCTTCCTCTTCTCCATCCTTGATAGGCTGCATAAGGCGTTCTGTCAGCTGCCCTCGGTCCATCTCTGCTCAGTCACCTTCCAGTGGGGACACCCGCCCCTTTTCTGCCCAACAAGTGATATCTGTATCACGGCCAGCTTCTGCGTCTCGGTCTCATTCTTTAAACCGTACTTCCTCCTACCTGAGGCATCTGTCTCACAGTAGTGATGCCAGCTCCACCAACTCTCAAGTGGTAAGTCATCTATTTTGCTCTTTCAAGGTTGCAGGAAGCAGTGCACTGAGAATCTAGGTGGCAAAGGAGAGCAGCTTGAGAGGAGGACAGATGGAACCTCAGCTCCTTTCTGTAATCCAACTCATGGCCTCCTGGAATTGGAATTATTCGCCTGTCTTAGGCTGCAGCTTAGTATGGACTCTCAAAAGGCAGACCTCACTGTGTCACAGAACTTGAAGAAGAACACTGAGACTAGCACTGTTTTATTTTCCATTTGCTCAGGTAATGAGATAACGTTGTTGGAAATAACCTGAGTGAATGTGTGCGTTTGCAGTGTACTGTGCAGTCTACCTGCAAATTTGAGGACGTTTGGAAATTTTTATTTAATGGGAAAATTGATGAGCAAGTTAAAGATAACCACTGATAAATTCTCTTTAGGGAACACTTGAGTACAATGTTGTTTATAATGTGCTCTGTATACTAAATTAACATAGTGCTTCCTTCTTAGCATGGATCCAGTATTGAGGAAGTAGTGAATGTATTTTATAAGTGAACTTACTTGTAGATGTTTAAATGGATAGTTCCAAGTACCTTCATATAGACTAGATATTTATTTAATTTGTTTATTTAATGTGGACGGTGTTTCCAAGGGGAATTTAGGAAATATAAGGGAATGAATTTCACCTGGTCACAATAAATGTGGTTTTTCCCCCTAATCCAGAAGAATCATCTAAAGTATACTTAGGCAATGAAACTGACCAGGAAGTCCTTTTTAAGCACTTACATTTTTATTGTAGTATTTTGAGCCAGAGAAGTACAACTGTGTGGAAGTATGAAAGACACTCCTGGGATTGTATCGTCATTTAATCCTAAGAGTTCACAGTGTAAAAAAAGTATTTTCTTCCTTTTTCATTGTTACTTTTTTCAATTAAAAGTGCATCATTTTTACCTAGAAATATCTTTCAGATTATACTGGCACAATGAAATAAGACCCCCCTCCAAATATCTGTATTCTTTCAAATTTAAGAGTGAGTCTTTGCGGCACCTGAAAACAAAAGAACAAGAAGATGATCTCACAAGTCAGACCTTGTTTGTTCTCAAAGACATGAAGATACGCTTTCCAGGAAAGACAGATGCAGAATCAGAACTTCTGATAGAAGATGTGAGTATTTGTTGTATCTAAAATGCCAAGGAGCTCATACCTTTTTAGTCGTCTTCTTAAACTATTAAAATGCATTTCCTGAAGGCATTATGCTCAATGGCATAGTAAACTTAATTGATGTTCTTTTCAACCTCCACAAGCTTTAGGGCATACAGGGGTTTATTTTAGTTATCCTAATTCATGCACAGTGCCATCACATTTATAATCAGCAATGCAAAACATCTTTTAGTATATAGTCTTATTTTAATGATGAGTCTGCTTCATCAAATGAGAATAATTAGTGTTAAATAGTTATTGTTCTTGATGATTGAAGAAATGTCTGGTTGAACCTGCTCCTATAAAGATTTAGAAAAATTAATATGAAATGGGAAATAATGAAAATCATGACGTGCCAAGAAAATGTAAATGTCACATTTTGGGGGGTCAGATTTTGAAATGACTTATGCTGAGCTGTATGTATTTTTCTTGTTAAACACACACTTGCACCACCCAGTGGAACATTCTAAAATGGCAAAGGGTCCTAAAATTCATATTAAAATCAATGATTTAACTTCTAATTCAGAAAGAAGATCCACGCTATTCTAATATTTTTAGTGAAGGAGCATTTCTTCATGCAAGGTTGCATTTCTTCATCCAAACATTCTTTTTTTGAGTCGGAGTCTCATTCCGTAGCTCAGGCTGGAGTGCCGTGGCATGCTCACGGCCACCCCAGTGTCAACCTGCTGGGCTCTGGCGATCATTCTGCCTCATCTTTCAAGGAACTGGAGCTACAGGTGCATGCTACCACGCCTGGCTAATTTTTTGATTTATTGTAGAGAGGAGATCTCTCCAAGCTGCCCGGGCTGGTCTTAAGCCTATGGACTCAGCAAGCCACCAGCCTCGGCCTCCCAAAATGCTGGGATGACAGACTTGAGCCACCACACCCGGTCCAAATATCCTTTTCAAAGGGCCTTTCTTAATAGAACCCTGTTTTTCCTGGGCTTCGCTGTATTTTTTTTTTTTTCCCCAGAGGCAAAGGCACCATCTAGCGGCCAGTTGTAAGATTAAAAAACAGCTATAAACTTGGCCTTTTTTGTTTTTTTAGCATTACTTTAGAACCGTTTAAAGTGAGTGTGTAGAAATTAAAAGCAAACAAGCAACAATAAAACAGACGTTCTCGGTTGTAAATACCCATAACTGCAATTTATGTTTTGTAATCATATCATAGTCATAAGCAAAGTCCCCAAATAGTATACATTTTACCATTACATATATTTTTTAAAGTGGAAAGGGTATCTTATTTGCAAGCGAGCGGCTACTTGTTACATCAAAGGAAATAAAAAATAACATTGGTTTAAAGTGTTATGCTAGATGTGTTTCTATTTACATATGTTATCTTATTTGATAAAGTTCTTTTCTAAGTACTTTGTACCAGACATTTATTTTATATATTTCTTAGAGACATTAGTTATATTCCAACTTTTTGAATCAGGTCAAAGAAAGTTAGACAAATAGAGAGTAGAACTAATATGTGTGACTAATGTGATTGTTCTATAAAGGACATGCATAGGCTTATGTAATAAAATATAGTTAATAATTATAAATATCAGACAGTAGATTGTTTACTATATGTTCACTATATGCAGTAAATATTTTAATCTGTTTGTCACAGTATAGATTACTAGAATCAATATTCAGAAATGTTGTAGATTTGTGTGAAAAACAAAAAAAGGATCTTAGAATCTTAATTATGTATAGGCTGCCTCCTACTGCATTATTCATTATTATATTATCACGGATGTGGTAAGTACAGTTCTAAAATTTTAAAAAATGAAAAATCTTAGATTCTTCACACACCTTATATGCCTGAAGACATTTGACTTTTATTTATTAGCGATTGTGTTCTTGGTACAAGAAGAGAAAGCTTTGGATGCAGATGGCTTCATTATATTCAAAATCTTTACAGATGTCTCCTTATGAAGGTCTGCATTCTTTATTGCAAGTCATATTATAGTGCTTTCATTTCACAAATCAATTAATAAAATCGGTGTTAGCCCATTTATGCATTTTTATTTATGACTTTAATGAAGATTCTGTATTCAGTGTCTTAATGTTTCTCCCCCAAAACAGATCATCGATAACTGGAAGTATCATAAAACAAAAGTGGCTTCCTATTGGCTCATAAAATTGGACTCCGTAAAACAACGAAAAGTGAGTAATGCTTATATGCAGTTTTGTCCTTTTGGGTTATGTATTAATGTTAAGCTAGGATCACTAAGCCAAATTCATAGTCAATCCTTATACATGTTTATTTGTTTACTTATTTCTTCAACAAATATTTATTGAGTACCTACTATGTGTCAGCCATTGTCCTGGTTTCTGAGGATAAAAAATGAATTTTTAAAAATCCATACTTTCATAGAATTTACATTCTAGTTAAGTGGTTTGATAATAAGCCCATATTTAATAGAATGTAAAGTAGTAAAGTCAGCCTTCTGTATCTGTGGGTTCCACATCCATGGATCCATTCAACTGGGGATTAAATGTATTCGAGGGAAAAAAAGAATGGTTGTATCTGTACCAAACATGTACAGACTTTTTTTTTCTTGTCATTATTCCTAACCAATACAGTATAACAACTACTTACATAGCATTTGTATTTTGTTAGATAGTATAAGTAATCTAGAGATGATTTAAACTATACAAGAGGATATGTATGGGTTACTATGCCGTTTTAAATCAGGGACTTAGCCGGGCACAGCAGCTCATGCCTGTAATCCCAGCACTTTGGGATGCGGAGGCAAGAGGATTGCCTGATTCCAGGGGTCTGGGCAACTTGGCAAGACCTCGTCTCTACGATGAATCAAAAAAGTAGCTAGATGTGGTGGTGTGTACCTGGGGTTCCAGTGGCTTGGAAGACTGAAGCAGAAGGATCATCTGAGACCAGCAGGTCAAGGCTGCAGTGGCCATGAGCGTGTCACTGCATTTCAGCTTGGGTGACAGTGAGACTCTTAACTCCAAAAAAAAAAAAAAAAAAAAAAATCAGGGACTTGAACATCCATAGCTTTTAGTTTCCTAAGGGGGTCCTGGAACCAATGCCCACAGATCTTAAGTACTATTATGAAAAAAAAGCAGGATTAAAAAACAGAGAGAATGTAACATTTAAGGAGAGAATTAAGTGAAATCAAAGTCATGCAATGCAACTATCTGCAAAGACATTCTTTCAGGCACGGGAAAGAGCAAATACATAGATCCTGAGATAGAAATTAGCTTGGTGTGCACATGAGGCATAACAAGGCACCATTTTATTCATGTTTTATATTTTTGTTTGATATCAGCAAAAATTAATAAGAGATTATATCCTGTGATGGAAATAGTATGGGTAAAAGAGCTTTTACCCATATTCTGTTAGAGAGAAAATACATTGGTACAACTCTTTAGAACAGTAATTTGCATTATGTAATAAAGTTACAGATGTTCATAACCTTATGACTCAGCAAAATCACTTCCAGCTTTCTATCCTACAGAATCATAGCCTGAATGTATAAAAGATTTATGTACTTGATCATTCATTGTAGTGGTTTGAAAGCAAAACATTTGAGGCAGCCTAAATATCTATTCAATAGATATGGTTAAATGAATTACAGTAAATCCCCTACATATGAACCTTCAAGTTGCAAACTTTCAAAGATGTGAAAGTGCATTCTCATGGCCAATCATGTAAGTCACTTTATGCATTTGGCATACATTGTCATGTGCTGTACTATAAGACTAAAAATGTTTTCCTTACTTTTGTGTTTGTTTTTTATGTATTATTTGTGTGAAAAATATTATAAACCTATTACAGTACAGTATTACATGGTCAATTGTGTTAGTTGGCTACCTAGGCTAACTGTGTTGGACTTATGAACTAACAGGTTTATGAGAATACTCTTGGAATGGACCTCATTCATATGTAGGGGGCTTACTATATAGTACATTCATTCAGTTCAGTTGCATTCAATTGAATACTATTCTGGAATCACAGATGTTAACCCAAGCTATGGCACAAGTTTATGACTCATGATGTAAGAAAAAAGTTGTGTTAATAACATTAACCAAACTTTACTAATAATGAGCAAAGGACACAAACAAGTGTGAGGTGTCTGGGAAGCCGTGTCCATCACCTTTCCAGTGTCTCTTTTCACATGCCCAGAGGCCTTCTGAGTTCAGAATGGCAAGTGTGTGGTCTATACCAGCACTGGGGAAGACTTTCCGATTTGGGTGACCTTCATTTTATTCTCCATGAGTTAACCATGTAGCCTGTGTGGATTAACTTCCACCCTTCAGCCAGAAGAAATGAAAAATTCCAGGTTTGCTATTTACCATGAGCGCTGTCCCAAAGGACTTTTTCCAGTGTCCTGTGTCTCTGCTGTCCAGTACAGTAGCCCTGAGCCACATGTGGCTGGTGAGTGCTTGGAATGTGGCTATTTGCAACTAAGACCCTTTTTGAATCTTTAATTCTCGAATTTAATTTTAATTAATTTAAATGCAAGGAGCCAGCCATGTCACGTAGCGACTGCACTGGACAGTGTGAATCTAGACAGACTGGGTATAGATATCTAAAAATGTTCTCAGATAAGAACCTTCTGATGAATTTAATCAGAAGGTCTGTGAGAATGTCCAGTCAGGCCAACATTGCCTTAGGCATCTCAAAGAGGAAGTGCCTCTGTTAACTTTTACCCTTCTGTACTCTGTCCTAAAAAAAAGAATCAAGATATTAAATTAAGGAAACAAGTTATACAATAATATATATAGTCCCATTTTAATCTACCTATATATGTGTACTATGGATATATATTTATAGTTAAATTATATATATATGTATATGTAGCATTAAAAAGTTGTTTAAACTAAGTACCAAATTTTTATGATAATTTTTTACATCTGGAAGACAGATTTACTGAGCCAGAGGAAGGAAAGTGGTGACATTTGGTGTCATTTTTTTCTTTTTGTGTGTGTGTGTGGGTTTTTCTATATATTTTTTCAAGTTAGAAAAATACTTTTTAAAATGGAGAAATGACAGACAGACATGGGCATCTCTGTGGAAAGGGCTTACAATGTAATGGTGCTGTGGGTTTGTTTTGTTGAGGTACAATTAAGGGAAAGAGGCAGAGAACATCTTTTCTGATCCCAGGATCTTGCTCTTGCTGTCTAGAATCCCTTCTTCACCCTCCCACACCACTTTTTTTGAAGGTCCACTTCCATCTTCTTCACAAAACCTGTCTGGATCTCCCCACAACCAGATATTATCTTTCCCAACTTGAATCCTCATGACACTTCGTACTCAGTTGTACTTACAATCTCCCTTGAGGAATGGATGGATAATTTTGTCCACCCCTCTAAAAGCCCAAAGATGGGTCTCACTTTGTAGTCACCTAAAGGAGGATTTCTTTTCTTTTCTTTTCTTTTTTTTGAGTTGGAGTCTCACTCTGTCACCCAGACTGGAGTGCAGTGGCCGCTCCCGGCCACCGCAGCCTCGACCTGCTGGGCTCCGGCGATCCTTCCGCCTCAGCCTTCCAAGTAGCCGGAATTACAGGCATGCGCTACCACGCCCCGCTGAGTCTTTGATTTATTGTAGAGATGAGGTCTCGCTGCCCAGGCGGGTCTCGAACCCGCGGGCTCAGGCAATCCACTCACCTCAGCCTCCCAAAGACGCGGGATTACAGGCTGAGCCACCGAGCCTGGCTAAGGAGGATTTCTATAAACATCTGTTAAGTTGACCTAACTCTAGACTCTTAATTCTAGACTCAGTATCCAGCTAGCTGCTTCTTTCTGTACTCTTCTTTCTTTCCTAGTGATATGTGATGTTGATTTGAACAGCCATAACACATGGAGACAGTGCTATTCTATTTTTTACACGTAATATGAGAAGGCCTGATCAACATTGCATGGGATGATCAAATGATGTGTGTGAATAATAATAATACTTGTGAATTGAAAGAAACAATTCACTTCATCTGCTTTTGGGTCATTATGCTCAATTGAGTTTCTAAATTTGAATAAAAATAAACGCTTGTTGATAAATTTACTCACGAGTTCATATGCTAGCATATCTCTTCTGTCATACTCTAAGAAAATTTGGAGTGTGTTATCTTTGTGCAATCTTTTTTTCTAGTTCTCAGATGTGCAACCTCCTTTAAGTAATAATCATACACTGTTATGTAGAGGGAATGGGAGAACTTAAGTAAGGGATAGGAGCTTTATTAAAACATTTATACCTTGTATTCTTTCATTGAGTCCTTTGTTACATCTTCCTTTCAGCATGAATCAAAGGTGTACTACCAGGGGTGCCAAAAATATGTACACGCATTTTAAGAGATGTTATCTATGTATTACTTTTAGTTTGCCGTAATCAGAAGTGTCTGGACTCTGACGGTCACCACTTTGAACACCTCTCATAATTGCAGAAGTCATATGTGACTTTTATTCATCTTTTACCATTAGTTTACATTGAGTATTACAATTTTAGTACAGTTTTTTCCTTACTTAAAATGTGTATACATTTTTTGGCACCCTCTGTATATTTCCTTTGTGTTTGTGGAAAGTAATGATATGTTCCAGCTTCAATAAAAGCTTGTTATGAGGGTCCACAGTTTACACCACCCAAGGGATTGCTATCATTCTTCTACGTAGGCATTTTAATAGACAATTCTGTTTTTGGCAGAAGAATTCATACCCTGAATTCTGGCTCTCAAAGAACAAAAAGGGCTCATCTTAACCAGAGCAAGTTTATCTTGCAAAGATGTCCACTTTCATAAAGCCATGAGAGTCGCTGAGGAATGCTAGTCCCAGACTGTGAACAGAAGTGGAAGCCCAGAATTTAGACATGTGCAACTTAATTGTAGAAATTTTTCTTCCTATATTCATCATGTTTGTGGCTTTTTTTCTTCCCTCAACAGCTTTGTTCTTTAAGAGACTTTTCCCAAAACAGATTCAAATTTCTCAGATATGTAGTGAAAGGGAAAGCACTTCTAGGAATAGAAGTAGAGGACAACTTCTAGCAGCGTTCATTCGGCATTGACATTCTTCTCCTACTGTAGGGGTGATTTAAGAACCCTTATCCGGGCCAGGCATGGTGGCTCCCAGCACTTTGGGAGGCCAAGATGAGAGGATTGGTTGAGCCCATGGACTCGAGACCAGCCTGGGCAACTTGGCAAGACCTCTTCTCT